CATTTAGTGAACTATTTCTACTGGTGAACCTCTAAAAGATTCACTGCTGAAAGTGCCCTACTTATTGGACCTCACTCAGAGTGAGCGTTACCATCACCACCTCCCATAATCATGATTAATGAAAAACTGAGAAGGCCGAAATTGGGCCTGCTCGCGGTGGTCCCTACTTCTTTGCTTCTTGTTGATTTCACGGCCTTGACTCGGTTTGTGGAACACGTTCAGAGTTCAGTGGCTTTAGCATAAGGTTCCTCAGAAATAGACGTCGTGTTTTCAATAAAGTCGATCGATAATTGCATAATATTGGTCGGTTTTATTGCTTGCTAAATGGTCGTAATTAGGGAGTGGTCCGCTAGGACAGACTTCGCTTTTCGCAGCGCGAAACTTTTTCGCTCCGGGAACCTCAGGTCCAACCGATTATGGTGGCCTTTAATTCCCGCTGCGAAAAGCTTTAGCGACCATCACCCTTGTTTTAATTGCGCCACATCAAAATTGCTAATATTTCATTTTAACGATCAAGGAATAAAGTTGTATTGAAGATATGTTGCTTTCAAAATACGTCCTATTTAATCATCAACTACGAGGTTTTCGCAAGTCTTTCACTTACTACAATCGTTTTTCGCGTGATTCCTTACGAGAGCGTCTGCGTAGGCAGAACATCAAGCAATTCTCCAAACCAAAAGGTGTGTTCATGGTTTCGCTTTGATTTTGGTGTTCCGGTCATTCCTTACTAAATGTGGCTTTTTTCGGTGAAAGTATGTGGCTGGTTTTGCAGTACCTCAGTCTCCGTATGCGACTGATGCAATTCCTGTTCGTCCAGTGTCCGATCTGCTGAAAGCTCTAGGGTTCACAGTTGGCGTGAGTGTTGCTGTTTTCGTAGTTTTCATAGTGTTTTCTATATAAAAGGTTCTGATGTCAGGTCGGAGCTGTTGCATTCAGTGTGGCTGCAATCGCTGACTACAGGCAAAAACAAAATGCGATCCATCTCACAGGTTTCACGTTTGACAGCAGAACAGGACTACCTATGGCGACTTTTTCTAGGTAAGTTCGTCGAAGTTTTTTCTACTTCCTATGTATATGAGACGCGCTATGACACTTTCTTAAGC